ACAATGTTTAGTAAGATAATATTGATTTTCTATTCTAATAGAGAACTTGTTTAGAGATTATTATTAAAACCAGGAATAAGAAAATTCCGACATTTTCAATCGATTTAATTTCTATTTTTAAAATAAGAACATAATAATATAATTGAAAAAAATATTTTCATGATCAAATAATCAACTTTTTCAAAATGTGGTAAGCATCATAAAGATATCGTCCTAATTGGAAAGAACATCGGAAAGTTATGCATGCAATGCATCACAGATTTACTTGCTGCTTAAGAAAATAGTTGTCCATCTATTTAAGATGCTGTGTTATTACCAGAAAATATTTCAAATCTTTTTATAAGATAATTAGAAGACCAAAGCAAAAAGAATACAGAGATATTAATGAAAATTAAAATATATTTAGCAAATTGGAAATCATACATTTCGAAAGAAATCGATAAAATTATTGATAAGATAGATAATTAGATATACTAAATTAATGATACAATCAAAGGAATAGCAAGGACCTTTCTAAAGATGGAGGAAACTGTGTAATTTTCAGCAGCTTGGGGAAATATAAAATCAAAGCTCTTTAAATATTCAGATTTGTCAAATGATATTGTTCAATCTGTTTTTTTGTTATAATAGAAATAATAGGAACTTTATGAAGACGTAATAAGTAATACAGGTCTTTATACTACTAATGATATCATAGAAGCATTAGAAGAATTAAATAAATATGCAAATTAGAATGATGAAGAGTAATAAAATTAATAAATATTTGAATAACTTTTGGATAAAAGTGTTTTCCAGGAAGATCTTTGCCGTGCTATAGCCTTTAGCTAAGATTGTTCCATTATGATTTCAGGGCATGTAAGTAATAAAATAAAGATATATAATTTCAAAAATGAAGAAATAAAATTCAATTAAGAACTTTCAGAACATACTAATATAGTGTAATGTTTGCACTTTATGAAACACTTTAATTAGTTTGTCTCAGGAAGTTTTGATAAGACCATTCGAATTTGGTCCTTTGATAATTCTTAGAGTATATGGTATTGTTAAGAAATATTAAGAGAGCATATTTCTGCAATTCAATGTATGATAATGAATGAAAACGAAGATTTTATTATTTCTGGAAGTCGCGATAATTCAATCAAATTTTGGAGTAAAGGTTAACGATGGACCTGTATTCAAACTCTAACTAATCATGATGCATGGGTTAGCAATTTAAGTTTAAATCATTCATAAAACTAGTTAATTTCATGTTAAGCATGGGGAGATAAACTTTTGGTATATTAACTAGATTCTAATTCAAAGCTTTGGATCCTGAAATAAACGATTATTACAACTTTTGGTTATAGCTTATGCTTTATTGATGATGGTTAATTTGTGTATTAGCCTAAAGGTATTGATGTATTGCACATTTATCAAGTCGAAGAAGGAACCAAAAAATATAAAAAAGCAGAGGAGCTTTAACTAAACTCCATCAGTGAAAGTTATGATAATTTTAACATGTAATTTATTAAAGAAAATTCACAATTAATCCACAAAAGTGGCAAATGCTTATATTTAACGAGAATAGAAAATAATGAATTTATATTGGAATAGTAAATCAAATTTGAAACAGAGTACATTGTTGGAGCGATAACAATTAATGGAAGATATTTTGTAACATATGATGACAAAAACAAAGGATTTCAGGTTCGAAAAAATATAAAATGAGTATTAAATATAACATCACAATATAATTTGTGTACACTTCTTTAATTTGAATAAATTAAATTAATTCGCAATAAGGTTTATCTATTTCTAAATTTTGTTATCTTTCACCATTAGTAATTGTATGATAATTACATAAAATAGAATAGAAGCATACCAAAATCAGTAGAGATTTCTGAATTTTTGCAAGACCACAGAAGTTTAACCAAAAAGAGGTGTTTGAAAAAATTCAAATAAGTCAATATTTTTATTTCTTTAATTTTGCAATTTTAAAATATAATTTTAATAATTATGTTTGAAATTATTTTAATTTAAGAACGAAGATTTTTATAAATAAAGTAATCAATTAAATTTTGTGTGTTTTCAAAGGAGTAAATGCATTATAATTTAAAAAAATTATACTATTTTATATTTGAGAGTAATACCAAATTAAATCCCTTTTCAACCCACCAACGGCTGCCTCCAAATTTGAATCTATTTTAACGACCCTACCATAGTACTATTAAGGGTTAAGAAGATAAATTTCGTGTGGACAGCAAAAACCAAACCCGAAAGAAATTTTGGTTGAAAGATCAATCAATGGGACATTGATAAAATATTTAATAATTATTTCTATAAAAATTCTTGAAATTTGGATGGAATAATCAAATAAATATGTGTGATTTAAAGAAAAATAATTTTTGATCAATAAGATAATTACACTTAGTGAATAATAATAATAATGATAATGATGTATGAATAATCTATCATTGTCGACGGCCCCGTTTGATTTGCATGAGGTCGACTCTCATAAGGCAGGAGTGTTTGAATATTTCTCTTTTCTAAGCGGAGCATGCTCGCCATACTTAACCGATTGTCTCTTGGTATCTCCCG